TGATCCTGTAACAAGTCCATTTAGACACCAATTTTTGTGCTGGTGTTGCCAGGTAATATATTTCGTTAATACGTAATTAATTAAGATTTAGTTGGTGTCTAATTACAGTAATTGGTATTTTTTTATTTGGTTTACTTGATTAGCCCCGTGCGATGCACGATTATAAAATAAGAAATGAATTATACTCTTTAGTACATATTAAGAGAAGACAACTACTTCCTCAATTTTCCTAATTACTTTCTAATTAAATATGAAAAATACAATTCCCAAAAATCCATTATTTTCATATTTAATTAGAAAAATCAATTAAATTATATTATTAACTTTTTTTAATAATTACTCGTAAATAACTAAATAGCATAATATGCGTTGAAAACCCAAAATTTAAAATTCAATTTGAATATAATTTTCAAAACAATGTTAAATAGGGTAGCTCAAAAAGAAAAAAAAAATGATATCATCCTCGTATGTGACGGGAGAAAATTAAATAAGAGAGTGACACGTAGGCAATGTTGACATTAACGGTTGTTATTTTAGTAATATTTAAAGATATATTATCCCTCTGTAAAGTTATTTCAATTGCTACTCGATCAAGTACAAACAATATATTTCAGATTTTCTAAACACTAACCGTAAATATCGACACCGATATTCCGATAACAATACACTCGCAAATCATCCAAATTCATTCGTTTAACTTCAATTAGCTCTGATATGCCCTCATAATCGTGATACCCAATTCATCCAGCACACCCCCATCTCATTGAATCACTCATTAAGCTCGCAAATCGACTCACTCATCTTCGCAAAGCACTCGCCAACCATAACCATGGAAACAACATCAGATAGGAATTGATTCAATGGGTCAGATTTTACAAACAACTCTGTGTAATTAGTTTTGGTAGATGTTGGTGTTGATTTACAAAAAGATAATTGATGCATTGGCTCATACTTTTTTCATGACCACAAAATTTCGATTTCTCCAACTCTAAGAAATCGGGGTTATGGTTTTTTTTTCAAACAGAGTAAAGTAAAAGGGAGAAAGATGTAACAGTAACGGCCAATCGTTCACTCCATACACTGTTAAATCAACTTAACGATCTAATTTTTCAGCAGTTATACCAAGTCAGCTTAAAATTACCATACTACCCTTATTATAGCAGGATATTTACGATTTTTACCCCCTAATTTCACTCATTTTATACTCAGACTTAATAACATGTATTTTCTCAATGTGATATCCGAGCCGTAATAGCCCACTACCCGTGAACGACGATACAAAGGGCAAAATTGTAATTTCACACAAAAGCTTCGACAGTAATTACTATGTTGTAAAAAAAAATTTCTTTACGAAAAGTAACAGTATAAGATTAACAATAACAGTATACAAATCAAAAATAATAGTATACTAATCAATGATGAGTGGCATTTGTGCCACGATTAAGAGCTTATTTTAACGGTTTTTCCCCATACTTGTAGCTTGTTTGGACCTTCTTTTCTAACTTTAACTCTCTTTTCTTTTGCTCATATTCTTTCCTAGTTATACCTCCTTTGTCTATTTTTCTACTTTGGTTTCTTTATTCATGTTTTGTAGGAACCGTTGTGTTTGATAAGGAGAAGATTATGACTAAAGATGTGGTCCGCGACCTTGGAGAAGCCGTGCAAAGGTAGCCTGCGCGGGCGCGCAGCCCTGTGAGAAGGCGCGCACTAAGAAAGAAGAAGAGCAAGGCAGATTGTTTTGCGCGCCTGCTGCGTGACTTGGGAGAGGGCGCGCCACCATAGTGCGCGGACGCGCAGCCTTGTGTGCGGCAGCGCACAGGGAATCAAGAGGAAAACAGGGCAAGGCAGGAAGTTTGCGCGTGGAGCTGCGCGGCGACAAAGAAGGCGCGCACATCAACTGCGTAGGCGCGCAGGAATGACGTGCGGGCGCGGCTTTCTGGGTTTCAATATCCGTACCTAGAAAGTTGCTGGCGCGCAATTACTGGAGAGAGCGCGCATATGCTCTGCGCGGGCGCATAGGTGAGGCTCGCTGGCGCGCACCACTTTAGTTTTCTCATCCGCATTGTTGCGAGCGCGCAGGGACTAGAGAAGGCGTGCAGCTGGTCGACCTCTTCTTTTTAAACATTCCTATAAATAGCTTGGACTTTCCTTTTTGAGTAACTATAATTAGATTAGCTTAATTTTTCTGGTTTTATTAGCTTAATCTAGAGAGAGAAACATTCTTAGCTTAGATTTGTAGAGAAAGAAAGTGAGATTTTAACCATTGTTGATGCTTGGACCTTGAAGGGGAAGATTATCTTGCTTGTAGATTTTAATCTTGCAATGAGCAATCTCTTACTCTTTTCTCTTTGCTTTTGCATTTGATTTTGATTTGCTTAGTTTGAATCTTCTTGTTTGCTTATTAATCATGTTGATGCTTGTTGATTTGATGATTGATCTTGCTTCTAACATGATTTGTGAGTAATTCCCCTTACAAAGGGGATGGTGATGGTATAGTTGGATCTCAAGCATGTTTTAGAATTGAAATTGATTTGATTGTGATTAAAATGCTTTGTAATCCATGTCTTACTAGTTGTTTCTCTTGAGTGGCTAATCGATCATTAGTTGCAACTAGGTGGATTGAACTAGGTTATGGCAATAGCGTGACCTAGGAATTTCCATTGAAAGATTTTGCTTGAATATTACCTAGATTTGCGTAGCTTATTACGATAGTGTATGCTATTTGATGAATTGAGAAAGCAATTGAACCCAATAGGTAGTTGGATTGCACTTTAAAATCATTGATATGAGATGCTTAGTTCACATCAAAACTTGATTTCATGCCTTGTTGTGCTTGAGTGAATGCTTGCCTAATCCATTCCCTTAGTGATTTAATTACATTGCTTCTAGTTCATTTCATTCTTTATTTTAGTATCTTTAGATAACTTTGCTCCTTTTTCCGAGATAGCTTGATTGTTGGTATTGAACGTGGTGTTTTAGCTTCTCCCTAGGTTCGACCCTTGAATTACCACTAGTCTTGTGTTTAGTGCTTAGGTTTAGGTTTATAAATTTTGTTTTTGATTAGAGGAGTTTTAGTTTTAACGACCTAGAATATCCTTGATCAAATTAGCGCCGTTGCCAGGGAAACGACTTCCATTACTTTTTCATTTCCTTATTGAGTCTATCTCATCCTTTATTTGCTTGTTTGTGTTACTCTTGTTACTTGCCAGTGCTTACATTCTTCTTAGCTTTGTTGTATGAATAGGGGACGAACCCGTTTAAGGTCTTTGATCCCTATCGATCCCGAGCTCGAGAGGTCTTTGTCCTTGCTATGGAGAGAAGCAAGAGCAAGGAGTAGAAACTCCCATACCCTTACAAGAGAGGTAGTGAGAGATTCTCACACTCCACCTTCCTCACCATCAAGTGAAGAAAGAGATAGTCCTAGTTCTTCATCAAGTTCGGAAATCAATCCTTTCTCAACTTTTGAGTTCGAGAGTGTGCAACCCCATATCATGGGAGACCATAGAGTTCTTAAGTAACTAGGAACTCCCGAAGCTTATGCACCTCAAAGTGGGATTCTAGCCCCTACCACTCAAGCAAACAACTTCGAGATCAAGCCTACTTTCATTTCTATGATCGAGAAGAGGCAATTCTCGGGTGGGAAATTTGAGAATCCACATGAACATCTCGAGGAATTTCTCAAGTATTGTGATACCATAAAGGCAAATGGTGTTTCTCAAGAATACCGATAGCCTTAAGATGTTCCCTTTCTCTCTCACGAGTGCGGCCGAACATTGGCTCAAGAAGGATGTCCCTCCCGGTTCTCTCACAACTTGGAATGAAGTCACCACCGCTTTCTTGGGACGGTTCTACAATCACAAGAAGTCGTCGAGGCTCGTTCTAAAATTCAAGGATTCCGTCAAAGTGGTGGAGAATCTTTGTGTGAAGCTTGGGAGAGATATAAAGAACTTCAAAGACAATGTCCCCATCATGGCATCCCTAACTATTAAGTGCTTCAAACATTCTATGGTGGACTTTCACCTCAAAGCAAAATAAGTTTTGATGCCCGTGCAGGAGGCCTAATAATGAACAAAAGAGAAGAGGAAGTGAAGCGCATCATAGAGGATGTGGTTCGAATGGTATAAAGGAGAGCATGAAGCTACCTTAAGCAAGGGAATGGTTCATTCATTGGAGCAAGCTAATGCCATCACCAATCTTTTCTCTCAAATGACCAAGATGGCAAAACAAATGGAAAAGCTCATGAAAGTCCAAACCCAACTTGCTTCCTCCCCTTCTACCAAGGGAGGCAATGGTACGAATACCCCTTCCCCTTCTTCTTACAATACAATGCCTCAAGGATGTTTGTTTTGTGTTAATTGTGGTACCTATGATCATGATACATCTAAATGTGTGTACTCATGTGAAACTTAACCCCCTTGCCAAGAACATGATGATAATGTGGAAGATGTTAATGATATGAACTTTGCCCCACGTATGGGGAATATGGGGAACATAAGGCCAAACCCCAATTAAATGGAAATTCGAATCAAAATTGGAACCATGGTTGGAACCAAAGTGGTGGTGGTTATGATAACCAATATCATGGTGGGGGAGGCCCTTCCAATCCCAATGGAAGAGGCTAACCTAACCAAAGAGGTTATGGTAATCAAAACCATCAACCCAACTCTCGATACAGTTACCATCAAAATCAAAGTTTTGGTGATCAAAGTAACATAGGAAACAATCAACAAAGAAATGTTTCCAATCAAGGCACCGGAGGCAATAGGGGTCAATATAATTCTCATTATGCCCAACATTATAGGCCTCCGGGTTTCCAACAACCCCAACTTCCCCTACCTCAACAACCTCTTCAATTGGAGGCACCTCCCGATCCTTTGTCATTGCTCCAAACTTTTATTACAAATTAAGAGGTTTTTAATAAGAGCCAAGAAGCTTTTATTAAAAGTCAAGAGAATTTTAATAGGAGTCAAGAAGAGGAGAAGAAGCAATTAAAGGCCTACATGAAATTGATGGAAACTCAAATCTCTCAACTTGCTCAATCAAACCCCTCTTATTCTTCCTCCGCCCATGCCCTTCCTAATCAAGTTTTGAATCCTAAGCCCATGTATGCCGTGACAAGTAGGAGTGGAAAGGTGGTGGGGAGCGATCCTTTGGTTGAGAAGAAGTCGCAAGAGGATGTAGAGCTTGAGGATGAGAGTGAGAAAACCAATGAGTATTTGGGAGGTGAGAAAGAAAATGATGTTGTTGAGGAAACAAAGGAGAAAGAGACCACAAAAGAATTAGCTACCCCTTTACCCCTAAATCGCCAACCTAGAGAGGAGAAGCTACCCTTCCCACAACGCTTTGTGAGGTCTAAGCTAGATGCTCAATTTGAGAGATTTTTGGAGGTTATTAAAGGTCTACATGTTCAATTGCCTTTTGTTCAAGCCATGAAAGAGATGCCCCATTATTCCAAATTTTTGAAGGACCTCTTGCATGGTAGGAGAGAGGTAGAGGCCGTTAACCTCACCGCCAATTGTAGTGATATTCTTTCTAGCAAGCTCCCTACAAAGTTGAAGGACCCCGGTAGTTTCAGTATCCCATGTTCCGTTAATGATGTCCATCTTGGGAATGCTTTGTGTGATTTAGGTGCAAGTGTGAGTCTTATACCTTTCTCGATTTACCAAAATCTAGGGGTAGGGAACCTTTCTCCTACAAACATCACTCTACAACTTGCCAATCGTTCTACCAAATTGCCTATAGGGAATGTGGAAGACATCCCTCTTAGAGTTGGAAAGTTCACCTTTTTCATTGGCTTTTAGTGTTGGAAATGGATGAAGATGAGAGAATTCCCATCCTTTTGGGTAAACCTTTCCTTGCTACTTGTAGGGCAATCATCAATGTGAAAGATGGTAAGATGACTTTGAAGGTTGATAGTGAGTCCATTGAGTTTGATTTTAATAATGTCATGAACCAACCTTCTTCATCTAGTGAATGTTATAGAGTTAATGTGATTGATTATTTGATGGAGAAATTTTATCATCCTCATTTGCATGCTACTAATGATCCTCTTGAAAGTGTTTTGTTGAATGATTCTAAGATAGGTGATCATAAAGAAGACATGCAATTCTATGAGGATTTGCTTGAAGAAAGCAAAGAGGAATGCAACAATGCAGGCATGGAAGAAGAGACTCCTTTCACTCATGACCTCTTTTAAGTGGAAGAGAAAGAAGAGGACTCCAAGGGTAAGGGAGCACAAAAGGTAGACTTGAAACCTCTACCTTTGGGCTTGAGGTTGAAGAAGGCTCTTTGCACTGCTCCCATAGTCCAAGGTCCGGATTGGTCTCTACCATTTGAGTTAATGAGCGATGCAAGCAACGAGGCTATCGGATCGGTCCTAGGACAAAGAAAGGATGGGAAACTTCACGTCATACACTATTTGTCCAAGACCCTCAATGATGCTCAATAGAACTATACAACCACCGAGAAGGAGTTCTTGGTGGTTATTCACTCATTTGAGAAATTTAGGACCTACCTCATTGGTTCTAGGACAATAGTGTACACCGATCATTCGGCCCTCAAATATTTGATAAGCAAGAAAGAGGCCAAACCAAGGTTGTTGAGATGGGTTTTGGTCCTTCAAGACTTTGATATGAAATGAGAGATAAGAAGGGAGCCGAAAATGTGGTGGAGAACCACCTTTCTAGGTTGGGTGGTGGAAGAATACATGAAGATGGTTTCCCAATTGAGGATGCCTTAATGGATGATGTTTTACATGCTCTTGAGGAAAAATCGGAGCCTTGGTATGTGGATATTGTGAATTACTTGTCTTGTAGTGCCATCCTCCGGATTTCATTCCTCAACAACGTCGAAAATTCAAGCATGAAGCAAAAAGATATATATGAGATGACCCCATTTTGTTGAAAAGAGGGGTTGATGGTCTATTGAGAAGATGTGTCCCCAATGATGAGTTTCAAAGAGTTCTCTGTATGTGCCACTCCTCACCTTGTGGTGGTCACATGAGTGCCCAAAAGACCGCCTCTAAGGTCTTACAATGCATGCTCTTTTGGCCCTCTTTGTTCAAAGATGCTTGGCAATTTGTTAAAACTTGTGATAGGTGCCAAAGAACGGGGAACATCTCTAGGAAGGATGAAATGCCTCAAAACCCCATCCTCGAGCTTGAAGTTTTTGATGTTTGGGCAATAGATTTCATGGGTCCTTTAATTTGTTCTCATGGGAACAAATACATCTTGGTGACCGTCGATTATGTCTCCAAATGGGCGAAGGCCATGGATTCTCCTACAAATGACTCCAAGGTGGTTGTGAACTTATTCAAGAAGGTGATCTTTCCGAGATTGGTGTCCCTAAGGCGATCATTAGCGATGGAGGGTCACATTTCAAGCATCAAACTTTCACTAGACTTCTCGATAAGTATGGTGTATCTCACAAGCAAGGGCTTGCTTACCACCCCCAAACAAGTGGTCAAGCGGAGATAACCAATAGGGCGCTTAAGGTCATTCTAGAGAAAACGGTGGCAAGGACAAGGAAGGATTGGTCCACCAAGATTATTTACTCTTTGTGGGCTTATAGGACCGCTTTCAAGACTCCAATAGGGACTACTCCCTATAAGCTTGTGTCGGGTTTCGTAGTGTCCGACACTACGTGGAATGAAACCCTCTCAAAATCCGCACACAAATTAAATTAACTAAACATGCATGCATATTAATTAACAATCACATAATTAATTAACAAAAGAGAGAGAAAGAAGAAAAGACGATCATACCCTTGATGCGTGCTTCGCTCTTTCTTAGAGCTCGTACTTGAAAGCGTAGGGCTTCGCAAATGCGCAAGCCTCCAACGGCTCTCACCCTCGAGACCCGACCCGAACGGCCCCTACCCCGAAGCTTAGTCGGGGCTAGACCAAAATAACTTAGAGTATTAGAACAAAAGTGTGCTCGCTTGTGGAGATCCTTTCAAGTTCACAACTCAAGTGCCCTTTCCCAATTCCAAATGATTGGTATTTATAGGGAAAGGAGCCCTTAAATTCCAATCTCCCATCAATGTGGGAGAGTTGGTAAAAAGGCATTTATTCAGTTTAATTTAATTCAAAAATCAAATTAAAATGAAAATGAATCAACAAACAACAAGTGTCAAATGGAGAGCAAGGGGTTAGGTGAGGACCACAAGGGGGGAACCATCCACCCCTTGCTCCCCAAGCAATCCCTCAGCAAACCAAGCCAACAAGCATGTGCTGGTGGCCTGCCTTGGTAGCCAAGGCAGCCTTGCTGGCGCCTAGCGTCATGGCTGGACCTGCCAGCCAGCCCGCATATTCCCACGCATAGCCAGCAGGCCACGCACGCAATGCGGGCTACTACTGCGTTGGTTATGCTAGGCAGCGCCTAGCTACTGCGATGCTTGTGTTAGGCTACGCCCAGCAAGCTGCTACGACCATGCGTGAGGCTCAGCGAGCATATGTTTGCTGCTGGCCTTGCGATGGTGCGGGGCTAGCTGCTAGCTTGCCTAGAAAGTGCAACCAGCCATGCTCGCCTTGCGATGCGCGTAAGGCATGCTTGGCTAGCATGCTCGACCATGCTAGGCATGCTGAGTTTGGGGCTGAGCATTGCCTTGCGACAGTGGCCCTTAGCTAGCCATGCTAGCCATATTGCCCTTGGCCCTCGTATTGCTCGGGGCATTCCGAGGCTAGGGGTACATTTGTAACTTGTTGTTTGCTTGATTTCTCGTCTCGTCGATTCCTAAATTCGACTCGAATTACGACGCTCGGTTCCAATGCTCTAAGCTCGGAATCCGACGTCTATGTCCGTAATACTCTAATGACTCATTTAATCCTTCGGATTAATTCGTCATTTCGGTTTGGTTACTCGATTGGGTGTGATCCGAAGGGTTCAGTCAAGATTAAGCTGTAATATTAATTATCCATTAATATTACTGATCGGAAGCGGCCTCCAGCTAGGCATTCCGATCACTTGACCTCACTAAATAATTAGCTTTCTAATAATTCCGAATCCTCTATCGGAATAATACACTTGTTCGAAGGAAACCATTCCTTTTAGCTTGTTTATGGGAAGAATTGTCATTTGCCCGTGGAAATGGAGCATCAAACACATTGGGCAATCAAGCAAGTCAACTTTGATCTCCATAGTGCGGGTGAGCAAAGGCTTCCAGAGCTCCATGAGTTGGAGGAGTTGAGGATGAATGCTTATGATAGTGCAAGCATATACAAAGCAAGGACCAAGGCTTGGCACAATGCCCAAATTGTCAAGAAGGAATTCGTCAAAGGGAAAAAGGTTCTCCTCTACAACTCTCACTTGAAGCTTTTTCCAGGCAAGTTAAGATCAAGATGGAGTGGGCCGTTCGTCATTACTAAAGTGTTTCCCTATGGTGCTTTTGAGATTTCTAATGAAAAGTATCCCCCATTCAAAGTGAATGGTCACCGTCTCAAACCCTACTATAAAGGGCATCCCATTGATGAGCCGGTCACCTATTCACTCATTGACGTGCATCGTGTGTATGAGCCTCCTTGATCTCATTCAAGGGGCGTCGAGCTAACGACGTAAACCAAAAGCGCTTCTGGGAGGCAACCTGCCTTTCTAACCCTCTATTCTCTTTTCTTTTCTTTTCTTTCATTTAATGTGTTTGTCTTATTTTTGTTGTTTTTCTTGATAGGTGTTGGGTTATTAGATTGGTTTGGAGAATCTTTGATGATTTGTAGTGCATCAACATGATATGAGGTGCTTATCCTTGAAGGAAAGAGAAAAGAAGCTCAAGAAGTCAAAAAAAGGGATTGAAATCCCAATGCGCAGGCGCGCGGGCCTGTGAGATGGCGCGCACAGAGATTGTACAAAAAGAAATCGGAGGCAAATTGTTTGCGCACCTTGTGCGCGGGCGCGCATGAGAGGTGAGTGGGCGCGCAGACCCTATGTGCGGGTGCACACAGGGTGAACTCCAAAATCAACAATTCGAGGCAGAATATTCGTGCGGTCAGTGCGCGAATTGGATGCGAGTGCGTGATGTCATGCGCGGGCGCGCAGCTGCGGGATTCCGGTTTTAATCCTCTTCTTCTCCCCGATTTTCTTTTCATTTCACTCTTTCCCCAAATTTTCTCTTTCTCTCTCCTCACAAACTCTAACCCTAACTTCTCTAATTCCTCAAATCTTCACCATAATCCATCATTTCCTTTGATTTTTCATCAAACCCATCTCCTTCTCCACCCATTTTATCAAAAAATCATACTTTCTCACTCCAAAAAACCCTAAAATCCACCATTGTTGCGTACTTGGAGCTTGGTTGAAGGAGGCGTTCTTGGGTCATTTTGGAGTGATTAAGCATCTTTTTTATGGTATAATTCTCTACTTTGCTATTTTATTACTCCATTTCACATGTTTATGCAAAGTATTTGGATTATTGAGCATGTTTGGCTTATAGTATGAATTTTGGGTGAATTTGGTATTCTTTATTGAAAATTGTGTGTTGTTGGAGTGATATTTGTGGAATAGTTGTTGTTACTAACCCCATTTTTCATATTGTTGAGATTGTTCTTAGTGTTGTTGTTTTTATTGGAATTTGGATTGGTTTGGAAGTTTGTGTTCAACATTTGGGATTGGCTTTGTGTGATATCATTTGGTGGTTGTGTTCAAGCTAGTGTGAAAAATGAATTTGTTAAGGAAGAGGAAGAGTAGAAAGGAGCCACGGTTGGAAATCAATGAGCCACAAACACAAGCTCATCCTCAACCTCAACAACAAACACAAACCCCCACCCTCCCCACCTTGAAATTTATCAACAAAAACCATACCTCCGTCTATAAAGAACTCATAAAACGCAAACTCAACCCCACAAGGCACTACTATGAAAGAGATATGGTGCAGTTAGGGATAGATGAAGACCTTAGGTTGCTCATAAGTAACCTAGGGATGGGTAAGTTTATACAGCATCACTAGTGCACCTACCGTGAGCCCACATATGAGTTCCTTGCATCCTTTGAGGCCGAACCCTGCGGAAACAATGACTTCAATATTTCCTTTCAACTTTTAACAAGCCACAAAACATGAAGCTCTGGGAACTCAATGTCCTTTTGGACTTTAATCCCGACGCTGATCTCCTTGCTCTATTCCCTCAACTTTTCCCCGAGTATAATGCATTCCGTTGGTGGCAAACCATTTCGGGTTATCAAGAGTTTAGTACAAGATACTCGGTGGCAAGCCAAATCATCCACCCAGTTCTCCGCATCCTTCACCGCCTTTTGGGATATGCGGTGTTTAGCAAGCAAGACTTGGGAAAGCTTTCACAGGAGGAGATTTTCACTCTTTGGATCGCAACTAGGGAGGAGTTGAGTAGGCGGCTCAACATGGGAGTTTGGTTTGTAACATGTTGTAAAGCGATCAAAAGTGGCAACAAGACGGGTGAGATCTCTTTGGGGGGAATGATCACGAGATTGGCTAGTAAGCTTAGGTTGGACCACCTCTTCCCCGCTTGCACTCAAGTGGGCATCGACAAGGATCTTTTTCTCACCATTGGCCAAATGAGGAGGTTGGGTTTTCTTCAACCAACCGCCGATGTTAGCAACTACTATGATTGGCAAGTTGGTCGTGAGCGCTATTGTATCTTACCATGCCCTGGCCAGACTTCCATTCAGAGGCAAGCTAGGAATGTTTGGAATGTGCCTTCTGATGATGGAGCATTGCCTAATGATATGGGTTGTGGGCAAGGGTTAGTGGTAGAAGAAGAAGATGAAGTGGAACAACAACAACAACAACAACAACATCAACAAGGCATGAGTGGCCTTGAACTACAAATGATGAACATGCAACTAGTCATGCAAGGTTTGTTCGAAAACCAACAAGGTATGTTCCTCCAAACTCAAGCCCTTTACAATGCAGCCGTGGAAAAGGGTGACCTCACAGTCAACTACCCTTATTGGTGACAGGATAAAGTCATATCTCCTAATCAAGCCTAGGGTATAGGTTCACTAATAAATAATATTCCAGGGTTAAACACAACAATCAATTATCAATACATCAAGTAATCAGATCATAAAGGGCTTTCGCTACGTATTACAATCACATAATTAATCTACCGGTATTAAATCGCATCTCTCGAATCTTGACTTAACCATTTATAAATTAACCTGCCTATGAAACTAAGCCTAGACATCAATTCTCATCTCTCGAATCTCGAATCAATATTGCATAACTCATATAATTAAACCAGGCCTAATCTAATTGCATATCATTAAATCAATCAATAGGAAATCAACCAAAGCATTGAAAATCGACAATAATAAATCAGCTACCCCTTCATATTATATACGGATCCCCACAACCCTAGAAATAAAACTACTCACACATTTTTAAATCTAAACTAAGAAAAACAAATAAACAAGACATGATTAATCAAAACAATTAAATTACTGAAGATAAAAGGAAAAGGAATTGTTACCAAAAGAAACGGAAAAATAGAATTGTATAAACCAAAAGTGTTGAGAGAACAATAGTATTAACCAAAAGCTTAAAACTAAAATCTGGAAATTAACTAATGAAAGACTAAAAGGAATGGTGTCCTTCCAACAAGTGTATTATTCCGGTAGAGGGTTCAGAATTATTACAAAGGTAATTCTTCAGTAAGGTCAAATGATCGGAATGCCTAGGTGGAGGCCGCTTCCGATCAGTAATATCAAGGTACAATTGATATTACAGCTTAATCTTAACTGAACCCTTCGGGTCGAACCCAATCGAATCTCCGATCCGAGACGTCGACTTAATCCGAAAGGATTTAATGAGTCGACAAAGTTTTACGAATACAGACGTCGGAAGTCGAGCCTAGGGCGTCAAGACCGAGCGTCGCAAAATCACAATCGACAAGTATGAGCGTAGCCATAGCTAGGCTAGGCTAGCTCATCATAGTCACTAGGCGCGCCATGGCAGCCCTAGCATGATGCTAGGCACCATGGCTGGCTATCGCTAACACCAAGCGCGCCAGCACAGCCCTAGCATCATGCCTAGGCGCTGTCGCAGCCCTAGCATGATGCTAGGCACCATCGCAAGCCAGCAGCCCATCGCAGGGCCTGTACGCATCACTAGGCGCACCATGCGTGGCCTAGGATGGCTGGGCGCCATCGCAACCCAGGCAACATCCCTAGGCGCACCATGCGTGCCCTAGGATGGCCTGATGCCATAGCAGCCCTAGCATAGTGCTGGGCACATGGCAGGACCACACGCACCAAGCATAGCTAGTGCTAGGCACTGGCGCATGCGTGGTGCGTGGTGCCTGGGCGAGGCATGTGCGTGCATAGTGCGCAGTGCCGAGGCTGATGCGTGAGGGAGTGCGAGAGTGTGTGCGAGGGGCTGGCAAGCTAGCAAGCAACGTCAAGCCAAGCATGCGTGGCTCGCTAGCAGCACGCATGCTAGGCACTGTGTGCGAGAGAGATGCGTGGTGCGCATGGTGTGGGAGTGCGGTGCGTGGCAATAGGCCAGCATGCGTGGCTCGCTAGCAGCACGCATGCTGGGCCATGCGAGTAGCGAGGATGCGAGGGATGCTGGCAGCAGCGCCAGCACGCACCAGCGCCAGCGCCAGCACGCACCAGCGAGCATCAGCGATGCTGCTGGGCTTGTGCTAGCATGCTAGGCTAGCTGACACAGCCAGCTGGCACGCTAGCTGGCAGCTGGGCAGCATGCTAGGGTGAGGCGGTTTATGAGGAGAGTGGGGACCAAGGCTTTGGGAAAGCCTTGGGGAGCAAGGCATTGGTCCCCCCACCTCTCCATGGTCCTCACCTAACACTCTCTCCCTCCTTGACACTTGTCAAATTGTGATTGCATTTGTTTATTGATTTAATTTTAGAAATAAATTAATTGACAAATAAAACATTCTCCCACATTGGTTGGGGAATGAAAATCAAGGGATCATTTCCCTATAAATACCAAGCTTGGTATTGGGATTTGATACAACCTTGAGTGGAATTAAAAAGGCAACTCTAGAAAAGAGTAAACCTTTGATTCGTAAAACTCATAGTTATTTTGTCCGGGTCTTGACTAACCTTCAAGACTTAGGACGCTCGGGTCGGGTCGAGGGTACGATCCGTCGGAGATCTCGTCTTTTCGGGATTTTGAAGTAAGAGCTCTTTAGGAGCGAAGCACGCGTCAAAGGTATAATTCTTGTCCTTAATCTTGTTTGATTAAGTTAATTATGCTTGTTTAACTGCTTTAATTAAGGGGCGGGTCTTGGTGGGTTTCCTTCCGCGTAGTGTCGGGTCACTACGAAACCCTACAGCGGTATCGGAGCCACGCTCCTTTTAATTTTTGCAATTATTATTTAATTGAGGTGTTTTAAAGAATTTATTTTGTGGTTCATGTTCATCTAATTAGATTAGATGCTTGTTTTAATTAATTTTTAAAACTCGATTTTATTATCGATTTGGCTGTCGAACCCAGATTTTGGCTCAAAAATAGTGATTTTTGGGTGGAATCGACATTCTGGAACTGTTTCAATCCATTCAGGGTTGTCCAGAAGCCAAATTCGAACCAGAAACCC